CAGTTCAGTCCTTGCAATAATTCCGAATAATTTTCCTCCATGTAATGAGATACCAATTAAGCCTGAGAAAATCTATGGACTGAATATCCAACAAAGTCATCAATACATTCATCCACAAAGCAAACCATGTCATTCGTTTGTACGGGTAAAAGAAGTGTATCAGAATTTCGTTGAGATTTATTCTCACAAAACTGGATGGATGACAGGCTGGGAGCGAGGAGGATTCATTTCATGGATTTATTTATCCTGCGTGGTAACCCAATCCTGCCCCGAAGTGGAGTGAAGGCCACTTCACTACATTAATTCAGAATTAATGGAGCTTGTTCCCTCTTTTCCGGCGTAATCAAATTTCTCTCCTCTCTCCGTATTATTGCCCCATTTGTTCTACGTCTTCCCGGTGCAGCGGATTGGATGCATGCATGTCATGCTAATTAAATTGCTTTATTATTGCGAACCAACGAACAAATCAATACTGTCAAATTAAAGGAGACAATGCAGTGCAGCCTGAAATCAAATGTATGGATGGATGGCTTAATTGAGCCGGGAGAGAAAAGGGACGGAAATTTGCAAGCAAAACTATTTATTTATTATTATTACGGTTCGAATGAGAGAGAGATGAGATCGGAAATTTGTAAAAAGATTGATTACTATTCAAAATTTATTGCTATATAGCCAATGGACCTTTTAAATGTAATAATACGGATAAAATCCTAAATTTCTAATGCGGCGTTGAAATGTGCAAAAAAAATTTAATGTAAAATTTATAATTTTTCTTGAATTATGTGTCATAATTATATTTTCAATGTGCATTTATGTATTGAAACAGAAATTACCATAAAACTCCCATTAGTAATTTAAACCGGATCAACTGGATAAAATGAACTGTGCGACACTAACGACGAACAGCATATACGCGTTGGTATTTCTTCCTATTTGTGTGGTTTAGCATGATAAATGTGCAGAAAAAGTGCGTGCTTTTCTCACCACTGTCTACACAATAGTTTATTAGTGAAGGATGAGAGAGAAGAAATGACAACATACCGATCCACTCCACTCTTCTGCTCAGTTGAATGTATAGGATTTCCTCAAATACTATTTATTTGCACGTTCACCATGACTTTCACTCTCTTTCGCTTGCCTATTTACTACCAAAACCAGATCCAGGAAAGGAAAGGGCTACGTCACCAGCAAAAAAAAACTAGGACAAAGTCAAACCTTCCAATTTTTCTGGTGAAGTCATATTAATAACAGCATATTGCATAACATCCCAATATTCGTAATTCGCAAAGTTTACATTTTATTGGACAAAATGTAACGACTTTTAAGCGTCATGACCATTCCCAACACTCCATCTTTTTATATCATACTTTCTCCTTGAGCATTATTTTCATCCTTCCAATAATATCCTCCAGCCCTTGACTTTCTTCTCCGTTCGTATCTGCTCCCCTATTATTTGAGAACTTGCGGTTTTCCCCAGGTTTGCCGCTCCACGATTCCATTTCATTGCGAAGGAGAGACTTATGAAAGGAAGGATGAGAAGCCAAAGGGCTCAAAGTTTCCATCAAATATAATTTCCGTATTCATTTCCTCTCCCGTCTTCCTCTCAACTTCCTCCCGATGAGCAATATTAGATGGAAGAAATTCCTCTCTCTTCGTCTCCCCGTCTTCGCAAAATGTTACAAAGGTATTGCACCGTGTAACCCAGTCTGGCCGGGTGAGCAGCATTAATAAATGATGCGATATGATATGATATGATGCACCTTCTGGGAAGAGTCGTGTCGAACAATGGAGGTCTCCCAGCGTTTGCTCACAGATTTACGGTTAGGCAAAACTAGTGTCAATCCATTAAAAATGTAATTAGTATGAAATTCGCAAATGACACTATCTGCTAACGCGCAGGTTTGGCTTAGATATTTGCATATAAAGAGGAGAAAATGTGCCCCAGGGTTGGCAAATTTTACACTTTTCAAATTTACTGCGCGTTTTCTCCTCTTCTTGTGTAAATTTATCTGCCAAACCTGAGCATTGGCGGATAGTGTCATTTGCAAATTTCATACCAATTAAATTTCTGATTGATTGATACTGGTTTGGTCTAATCGTAAATCTGTAAGCATACGTTGGGAGACCTCCATTGTAAGTAAAAGTTTTATTATGGCACCCACGCCGCTAGCTAGTCAGCCACCTTGCCTAAATTTGTAATCGTGCCATTTCCCCAAATCGTATTCATGTTATGGTCAAGACGATGGACGCATCAATGTGTGATGCACATTTTGCAGTCTCGCTCTTCTTAATTATTAAAATGTCTTGTTCCCTTTATGTAACCTTTCGTGTCAACTTTCTCTCCTTGCAAAAGTTCACTTTCCATTATGCAACTTCCTAAAACCTTCAAGTTTTCACTTTTCACGGGCCTTTTCAAACTTGTCTAGAATGCATTAGGCAATCCTCGTCTTTGCAAACTCAGTCAGTTGCTCAATTTGATGATGTTTGCACAATAACAAATAAAGGTCAACTTGATACCAACCAGATATCGATAGTTTGTCTTCATTTGTAAACAAATGTAACGCTATCGGATAAGAAAGTTGGCAGAAAATCTATTCCAATTCCCAATCCAATCTAAACGAATTTCGCAATTAGTTTGGCTAGCGGGCTGTCTGTCTCTTCTACTTTTTTGGTAAATAATGTCGATTCGCGATTTAAGGTGAAGGGCAACTCAATGCCACTTTCCTTCTTCTGGGGGAGAGAGAAAGTTGCTTTCCTTTCCAAGTTAAAAATTTCTGTCCGCTCCAGATTTTTGTAATTGATCCCACATACCATGGGAAATTACGGGCAAGTCAAAATATCTATGTGACATGGCCAGAAATGACGTGAATATTCGCATCCCTCCAACTCCAACCAACCGCAATCAAATCTCTTTATTCCTCTTTACATCTGTTTACTCCGACCAAACATCAAATATTTGTCGGGATGGATGCCATCATACAAGAATTGCACAAGTAGTTGAAAAGTAAACAGCGAAATCACTGTCGAGACAAGGAAAGAGAAAGTCGTCCTCCTCGTCACGGGGAGGAAAGTAATATGTGCCCATGTGTATCATCATCATGGTGGATATCTCATCATTATTATTATCTCTGTTGTGCCTTCTTCTTCTTCTCCTCTTAAAACATTTCTGCTCCTTCCTTCTTTCGTCTTCCATTCGCAATCCGTTCCAAAAACATCAAAGAGAGATTCCATCGTGGAATGAGCATTATACAATTTCTTCTCAGCAACCTCAAAAAGATGGGGATAAAATTGATGAAAGTGTAAATACTGGTATATACCAGAACCTGCTACTTTCACCCACCCACCAACCTCAACCTTAGACTTGCTTTCTCCCTGTTTGTTGCTCTTTTCTCAACCTTCCCATCCTCCAAAACAAGTATCTTTCGCTTGGTGGTAGAAACCAGAAAAAAATATATAAGACGTATCCCTCCGGGCTGTTCTGGTTTTCGTTCGCATTTTCCTCACTTTCACGGAGAAAGTAGTAGCACCAGAATCGGTGAAAGTAGCACTTTCCCCTGAGGCACCGTAGCGCACGATGCGGAAGGAAACCCTACATTTGTAACCCTACATAAAGTAAAAGATACAAATAATACGGATTCCAAGAGAGAGAGAAAGCAAAATTATGTTGTGAGTCTCCACTTTCTTTCAAAAAAGAAAAAGGAAAAGTGTTTTTCTTCCGAATAGAACAATAAATACGAAAAAAATACAATCTCCTCGGGACGAATTGGTAATTTAAAGAATGAAAATAAAACAGGATCTTGTAAATTTTTGAATTTATTGCCACTTGAATTCACATATTTACAAGATTCGTGCACATTCCTTAAGCCGGAGTAAAGTATGCAGAGAAAAAGGACGAAGAGATGGATTGCTTTCCTTTATGAGCTTTGAAGCTTTCTACACTCTCCACTTTTTGTCTCGTGCCGACGCCATTCATCCTCCTTACCCAACCCCCGAATGGGACAGGTACGGCTTTCCCAGATTTTTTCTCTCCAGCCTATAAATATATACGGGGGAAAGAAAAGAAGAAGGAGACGAGCAGATGATGATGATGATGATGATGCTACTTTCCCACCGTTTTTTAAGAATCCCAGCACAAAACAAACTGTGAAAAGAGAGGACAAAACCCAAGAAAAATATCATATAAAAGAAATTGGCTGGAAAAAAGAGGCAATCTTCATACGAAGATATTTATTCCTCTGGCCCAGATTTGAATATTTCGTGAATATTTATTTCTATTTACTTTGGAACAAAAAAGTGCATAAATTTAGTTTACCTTTTCAATATGGATCGTTATTATATATTGTTATTTCATCAAACTGAATGAATACATGCATGGGTTGAAAATAGTTTACGTAATCTCAACTTGTGTATGTCTCTTGGGCTGCTTTTGATTATTTATTCAGTTATTTAACTAGTCGACGATCAGTGGCCGCGGAAGGGTAGGGACAGAGGGGCAATTTCCCCATCATCTGTTCATGCTGTATAAACCCCTCCATCCGCCATCCTACAATGCCAATATCCCCAAATGTCCCCACAACTTCCGCCGCCACTGTCGACGCTCCTGCATTAAAATAAATTCGACCGGACAGAAATAAGGTTTAGAAAAAGGAGATTATTGCGCCTTTATTACTTTCGGAAATGTATCCGAGATAAAAAGAAAGGTAAGGAAAAAAGGAGGATAGCTTATTCTTCGTGACAGTGAATCGAATCCTTATCCTTATCCTTTCATGCTTATCTTTATCTTTTGTTGTTTATGTCATCACCCTTCCACCCACACAACCAGCTAGACCTCGAATCCCACGTGAAAAACAAACCATACTTTGGCTGCCCCGAGTTATTTATTTATTTCTTATGTAACAATACTTTCAGGATGGTTGGACACGTATCCCCTTTCGCGTTGACTTATTTTTTCCCCCAACAACAAGTTACATAATGACGCCACAAAAATTTAAAATTCTTACCGATCTCTCCCCCAAGTTGCGCACCTTGCACCTCAGAAACGCCGTGTCGCCCAAAGGTACGGTAATATTTGATCCAGTATTAGTATCAAAAGGGTTTTCCATGGCCCTCTGGAACTCCTCGTAGCTCGTGTACTGGTGGGGATTGGCGATATTGTGAATGGAGTGGAGATTCCCGTGGGAGGAATGGTGGCCGTGAGAGTGGTGGCCTTGATGCAAGGTTGGGTGATGATTCCCATTCGTGCGGTCAAAACGGTTATGGCTCTCCCTTATTTGACGACCCTGGACGTGATGCAGCATTCCTGAAAAAAGAGAAAAATTGGATATTCAGATTTATTGAAATGAGTGAGAGTGAGAGAGAAAAAAGAAGAGGAGAAAGTGAGTCTGACACTTTCTCCGCAGAAATTATTGGAGCAGAAGTCAACACAAATGACACTTCAATCCAATTCAGTCACATTTTTGTGTTTCCTTCCTCCTGATGGGTTTCCTCCTCCCGAGTCGCGGTTGATTAGCTCCACCACTTTTTCCTCTGGAGGAGTCGTTACCAAATGACAAATTGCTATTAGTCGTTCGTAGTAGACGAGTAGATAGTGGGGAAGGTTTGGGATAGGCTAGGGCTTCCTATATAATTTATCCTAATGTAATGTGTGCGGGGTAAGGTGAACTGGGGCGAGTGAAAGTGGTGACGTGTGTGACATTATGACTTTCTTATTAGGACTTTCTCTCTCTCGTAAAGAAATTTGATGGTCTCGTGGAGTGGAATTCATACCAACGAACGAACCCACCAGATTTATTTATTTATTTATCCACCCTGTGTGGAAGAACTGCTCGAAACAAATTTAATAATCTGACCCATTCACATTTATTTATATTTCATCATTTTGTGCGAAACTTTTTGTGTGAGTAGGTGCATATGAAATTTGACGTTTTCTCTTTCATTGTCTTTCTTCTCCTCGCAACAACTTTTCCTGAAGGAGGAGGAGAAACAAAGGTTTAAACTTGCATCATAATCTATTCGTAAGGACGAAAAGGGGGGGAAACTTTGTTTGTTACTAAATGTCAATTTCACGGTTGACATAAATATGAAATTCATGCGAGACTGACACCATCATCTGAACCGTTACGAGACCATGACCACCTGTAGTTGGGTGGAGATTGGAAGTAAAAGCAACTTCTCAGAGGGAAACTTTCTCATTATTTCGTCTCAAGTGTGCATAAACAAACACAAGAAAGTCGAGGATCTTCGGATTTATTTACTTGCGCTGCGTCAGAGACAACAAAGTGAAAGTAATAAATTCTTCTCGACATGTACTCGAACAGGATTGAGAAATAATTTGGTTCAGATTTTTGAGATGGATTGTTTACAGAAAATTTTCTGACGTCAATAAAATAATTTTGTGAATTGAGTTCAATTAGCGTTCGGCAGCGGTCACGGAAATCAATTTCCAACCTTTCACAATTTATATAAATAAATACGACCTCCAAGAGAGATAATGGGCAGCAAAGTTTGAATATGAAATGAACCTAGTCGTCCATATCGGATTCAATTTTATGTGCGGTCCGTTGAGTTGATTAGCGAGTAATTAGCAGGTTGAAGGACATTTCTAGACTATGAAACCATGCATAAACCATCACATCGCTGCACACCTACAAAACTCTGGTTGACCCACCATCCAAATTGACGCAATATTATCCGCATATATTCGTCAAAATAAAGATACAATCCGACTCCATTTCACATTATCCACTCAAAATGAATATAAAACCAGTCCTTCTATTATATATTCCTGACCCGTTACGTCAATTTCCCACCACCACCGTCGCCACCACCACCTGGGGAGAAAGTGACAGTGAAACAATGGCCGATTTATTCTCATTTCATTTCAACTTTTATTCACGTGTAAATGGATATCAGTTAACAATAACTGGTTTGCAAACCATGACACAAAATGCTATAACTATATAAGAAGCATAATAAATACCTAACTACATTGTTCTACCACTTACTTCATAAATAATAATAATAATCATCAGAACGCTTATTAATTATAAATTCACGACAAGATTGTACAAATTTAACATAACTCATGTTGGGGTCCCAATCTCTAGGCAGTTTGTTCCAAAGTTTAAATTGACACTCGAAATTGACACTTGCCTAACTGTGTCACGTCATCGCTCCCCTTTAGAAAAAGCATTAATACACAATCAGGTCAACCTCGACACTACAGTCCGTCCACTTTATTACCAACCTATTAAAGTGGACTATCCCCCGCACCGTAAAATAAATCCAGTTCTCCTCTTCCAAAAAAATCAGAGTCAAGTATCTACGTTTTCCAAAGCAAACTGGGATGAGATTCCTGCTGCCCTGTTGATTTTATTGATTTCCTTCCGGCCACTCAACTCAATGCGACGCTAACTTTTCCCCCCTCGAACGAACCTGACCTCGTTACATGATCCATCATCAACGACATACATAGAAAAAAAAATTGACAAAAAGACTAATCTGAACTGATTGAATTGGGTGGATTGGATGCATTTTTACCATCAATTCGTAAATCACTATCGGAAAATTTTTTTTTTTTTGAGGTGAACAAAGGAAAAAGAATTTGAATTTTTCATGCCTTCACTTTTTTATGGATAGTTTCACCTTGACTGAATTTCGGGTTAAGAATCGTTATTTTTTTTCTTGAGCTGGAGAGGAAATCAATCTCTGTAAATCATCCTGTCCGTCCTCCTCACCCCACCTTTCGTACCAAGCAAATGTGCAAAACCAATTTTGTTCCTAGCTCCATTCTCTAGCTCGCTTTTTGCAGTTCATGAGAAGAATGTGAAACTTTGTGAGGTGAACTTTCTCAGGAAGAAATATAAACAAATTTTATGCTGTTAACAATTTATACGTGAATATCGTACTTCAGGACAATGGTTCGATTGGGTAACGTTATCATAAGCTTGTGGAATGAATGTCGTCATATTTTGTTATGAAAATGCAGAGCGAACGGGGAGACTTGTATGAAATATATTTTGTCATATTTAAATGCCAAGTAAGATATTTAGAGTTATTATTGTTTTAAGTGTTTAAATAATAGATCCCACTTGAATAATGAGTTATCTTTGTATATGGTTTTTTAAGGTCCCCGTATATGCGGATTTTTGAATTTGGATTTCTCAATTTTCCCCTCTAATGGCGATTGTGAAACACATTCATCGCCTCTCGTTTTGTACAAATCGAAGATTTTATTGCATCAAAAATAGACAATGTTTAGGTTTACAAAGTTATGAAATTAGAATTTTGCTTGTTTTTCATGAGCAACTAGGTATTTAACTTTAATTTTTTATCTATTTTATATTTATTTTCTCATGGAAGAAAAAAATCAAAATTCTAATTTCCTAACTTTTTAAAAGTAAAAAATCCCGAGGGCATCTAAATTGGATGGTGACCATTTCTTTTCCTTCGTGAAATACAGAATCCTCTGATTTCCACACAAAATCCAATCCACAATGTTCCAGAACTCTAAACAGTATTGACGAATCAGTTCCTATGTTTATTTACTTGCCCACTTTTCTCTCCGTCTGCTTCACTCCCTGCATAATTATAAGTTGCATCATGATAGCTTTCATTACATCGACCACCGAATTTCGGGTTTTCCTTGTACCTACACATGTATCGTTTCCGTCCTTACATGCGACCGCGTGTTGCACTGCACAAACAAGCAGCAATGCACATAATAATTATTGCTGCGGACTGCGAGGACGACGACGACGACAAATGTGGTTGCTGTTGATTTGGTGTTTCGATATCGTCAAGTACCAAAGGACACGTGCCGCCCGACCAATCCCAAACTCCAACTGTGGAGATGCTCGGTTTTTCTCTCTCGCATTTCTCGCTTTAACAATAATAACAGTTATTTGCTCTTCAACCGTGGTTGGTTAGTCAACGCAGGCAGATTTCATATACGTATGGCACTCATCTCGTTAAGAGTTAGTTCCCAATGCAGGCAGGAAAATACAGTGGAGGAACTTGTATTTACGTATTACGTAAAAGGGGGATTGATTTATGAAACAAATTAATTTAGCGGTGGGGAATTAATTGCGGCAGTTGAGTAGCTTGCATTAATTTTGGTGTGTAATAAGAAAAGCTAATCATGTTCTTTCAGTTAATCATGAGTAAAATTAAATGTTCCGAATTTTAGGAAAGTCTAGAAGATTTTCTTACGTTGAAATGCAAAATTATTTTCGTCTTTTTGACAACCCCAACCCAACCTTTCAGATCATGGTAAATAACTTTTTGAATTGTGCAACTAGCACGTCCGAAGTATGATTTTGGTAGTATGGACATTTAAAATGTTAAATTATAGATAAAGTATGGCTCGAGCCTCGAGGTAATTAATTCCTGCAATCAAAATTTGCCTAAATATATGACATATACAAAGTTATGCGATACATATTTCAGGAAATTTCACTTTCACAAGTCAAACCTAGCATGAAATTATGCTTTATACGCGTTCTACTAAATTACGTATTTCTTCTCCAGTTTGATAAACAGATTTCTCCACATAGTAACATGTTTTTGTTTACAAATGCGTCCAGAAATTGAGTACAATTACGCACAAAAAATGAACAATAAGCACTTATTTTTCCTGCGCACAACTTAACAACAACAACAACAGCATCCACTTCATGCATAACATTGTTTTTTTATCAACAATGAATTGAGCGTATGGTACTTGAATTTTATTGCGGAAGTGACCTTTTCCCTGATCCTGTTCGCACTATAGAGCCAAACGTAGCATGTTGTTCTCAAGTGCTTTCTTTCTCCAATTGGGACACACTTTCTCCTCGCAGCTCAGCCTTGTGGAGCAAATAGCAGTGGCGAATAAATAGTAATAGTGAAGGCGTGCCAGCCTTAAGTTGGTGCTAAGTAAGTTGGTTGATTGTTGATAAGGATGAAGTGGCCGAGAGGATGATGATGATGGTAACGTGCAGCAGCGTTCGTGGTGGTTGGTGACCTAATGCGGAAAACATGCCGAAACTAACTTTCCTTTCCGTGACTTCTTCGCGTTCCAGGTTTCGCAATCATGGATCAAATCTGTATCCTATCGTCTTGCCAGTTTACGAAATGGTATACGAACCAGTTTTTAAAGAGAGAAAGTCGCACCAGAACAGTATTGATTACAAGGAAGGATTTCGTAAAAGTGTGACATTTTCGGGCAGATTTGTGTATATATTTATCCTCAACCATTCTTTTAATTACTAGAAATGGCTGCATGTTTATGTATGAAATACGTTTTACGAGAATTACTGAAACCGAAAGTAGTTTACAAATTGATTGAACTTTCTCGTAAAAAAATTCATTAAAGGAAATCCTATTGTGTCCTAGACTTTCTCCGTATGTAAATAAAAATTTGCGAAACATGGTACCCGTTATTTCTCAAGGGTTGATTATTGCTTTCTCCGTCTTGGACAGTAAACCTGCTCATTACGTAATTTAATGCGCTGCATGAAACCAAGGTTTTATGCGTTTTTCGCATGAATGCCGGAACCCAGCCGGGCACGATACCACCCACCAAAGTGAAAGTCTTGACACGATCATGAAATTAAAAGTAAAAGTTAATAAGCACTTTAAACGTTATGTAGTGGTCGGTGTGCATGTAGAATAATGCAGCATTAAGTGCCGTGAGCCGCTTATTGTGATCGTTTTGTCCGTCCGTCTGGTTTGTTTGTCTGTTAAGAGGATATCTTAAAAACGCCTCAACATTATACGCGGTTTTCGCCATTGTGCTTCTAATTTTCAATTCTTGGTCGAGTTCGATAATGGTGTTAATAGGTCCAAAATTAAACTTAACTTAAGTTTCATGTGGGTTATTATTTTAAAGGAAATTTCACCACGAAATCAACTCCGCCAATAATTTTTGACCTCCGATCAACCCATGACCGTGAGGACGAGGTCAAAGGTCAAAAGTACACAATTTTCTTATGGCGAAATTATACATTTTACTGTATGTCGCCACTTTATTATGTCCGTTTGAGACGGTTTACCCATATTACCCTCATCATTAATACGGCCTGCATTGCAAAACGAAACACTCGAGGTCTAAGAACTTGAATGAAAAATAACAACAACAAACCCCGTGGTTTGGTTGTTTTCAATGGAGAAAGCAGCGATGCGATCTGACCATAAGTTGAATCGACGGCACGTGGACGCCAAGAGAAATTGAGTCTAGTACAAAACAATTAACGCCATTTGACTCCTGCTTAAGCCAACTTTACCAACAAACTTTTACATTAAGGGCCCAAAGTGATGTCCCATGTTTTCCCTGGTTTAATTGCCTGTGACATTTTTAGCCTCATCTTGTCATACGCGCATCCACAAAGTAGAGGACAATTTATTTATAAAAGATGAAATTACGAGTGCACTTTACTCTGCTTTATAGCCCGCTCTACATCCATATTTTGCATGTTATGTAACCAAGTAGAAAGCGAAAGTGCGCTCAGATTTCATATTCTGACACCTTAAAGTGAAGTTGTCATGTTGTGAGGATGACAGCAGGCTTGAGCTGAGCCAGTTAACAGGGGGCGGAATATAACGCAATGTCACTTTTTAGTGTTGGATTTGGATCAAGGCTGACTTTTTGAGTTGTGTGTGCGGTCAAAAAATAGAGTACAAATTTGTCCCACTCGACACTGACTTTGAACACGTACGTAAGCTTGACATTGTCATTTGGCATTGTCAGTTGACATCAATTTGTTTCTAAAATATTTCTTATTTAAAAACCTATTTTTAGAAATTGGCTTACCTTGATTCGTGATGAGGAGAAGAAGGACGTATGGGACGCTTAGAATCCAGCGGAAAAAGCAGGTTGAGGGAATACTCCAGAATCGTATGGTTTGTGACATGGTGTCCTCCTCTTATTGAAAATTTGACTAAAAACACTCCTCTCCCTTAAGAGGACTTGAATTAAAGTACTTCACTTTTCTCGCTTTGATTTGCACTCAATTCGGGCTAGCTTGTTTTTTTCACACTTCAAAATCTACGTCGTAGACGTGTCATTCACAGAATTGTGTATCAAATAAATACGATTCGGTTCCTTCCCAGAGTAAATATTTCCATGTTGTTTGTTTATCGAACAAAATAATTAATCAATTTGGTATACGTATCGTTTTTAAAATATTGGCAGTTATTTATTTTTTAGAAATTTTCAACAAACCAGGAAATATTTCGACACCATTACTTTCACTTCATCTCTTCACTTTCACCTTGTTCCAAATGTCACACGAGACGGTGTAAAGTCCTTGGTAAATTGACACCTTTTCCTTGTTTGCTTGTTCCTGGTCCGTTACAAACTGCAAGTAAAATGATTGCGACATTGAATTTCATGTTTTATGAGTAAGTACTTTGTTGATTGTTTTCTCTCTCGTGTTTAATTTTACACCACTGCAACGTTACCCAACCTTGCCAGGGATGACATGCAGTCCGCATTTAAGACATAATTCCCCACTTAATTCTCATCATTGTGTCAACCTTAATAAGCGTGATAATACAAACATACGTGCATAATTCAATGCAGGGTCGGTAAATAAATTAATACAGAAAATTCACGCCACACGAGCCAACCTATTTAAAAAACAATGCATACTTAACTAACTAAACCAACCTTATCCATGAAATATTTTGGGGACAACAAGCCACCCAATTTCTCCGTAATTTCTACCCATGCAGATTAATTTATTCATGACATGTCACCAACAACAAGGACGACCAAACCGATCTTGTTGGACAACTAACTTTCTTCTCCGCGAAATTGGAATAATATTGATTTCTTTTATTCTCAAGTTTTTACTTATTCATCTTCTTCTTCTTGCCCTTGACTAAGTTTTAGTCGTGCTTAATGGAATTAAAGCATTTCTTGATTATTAACTGGTATGTTTGAGTTTGAGTTTGACTTGACGACGAGCACTGGCTGGGGCATATTTACGTAAAGTTCACGTTAGAGGATTGAAGAAAGTCCTTAATTAAAGATGAATATCTTAATTTTCAACCGATTGGTTTTTCTCCTTCTCCTTCTTGAAGCAAAGTAATGACAGAAATGAGAAAGCTGGGAGGATAACTTGATTTCACTGGATTATAACTTTTCACAAAAGTCTTTTGATTACAATTTTACTTATACAAGTTGAGAATCAAATAAGAATTTTATTTTATATGGAGACCCGAATATTATTTATTAATCGATCCAGTGTAACTTATCCATACTTCAGTCCAATCCAACTCCCCATTCCAATATGAGAAAGTCTGCCGAACCTTGAGAAAATTTGGGATAATTAAACTTCTCAAAATTAAAGGGATTTGATTACACGACTTTCTCCCCTTACATACTTTCCTTGCGTCATTCATGCATATCAATAGATCGATTAATAAACCTACTACCTGGACTGGACGGATTTAAATTAAATGGCAAAAGGGATGAATTTCTAATGAGGAATTTCCTTAATAAGTTTCCCTCTAGTACGATATCCTTCAACACGGAATGATTTATTATCTTTGTTTCTCAAACTTGGTTTTTGGTGAATCTTTCCTCAGAGAAACCGCAACTTTGTTTTGGCCAAGTTTTCCCCTCCTAACACGGTCTTAATTAAGCTCCATACACGGCGAGATAAGAAGAGGTCATGGGACGAATGGCGTGTTTGTCACGGTACGGACTGTTTACCCTGCATGGTTTTTACTACCATGAAAATAAAAAAAATTGGACACCTCAAGGATTTCGTAAACAAAAAATACTATCAAGCAAACGAAGAAAGCTAATTGTATTTTTTTCTTGTAAATTTACATGGGACTAATTAAGCCGATGAGTACAATTGTACGTGTCCTTTGAAAGAAATGAAATTATGTAAGGGTCTAATTTTTTGGACACCTACTTGACCCATTTGACTGGGAGAGACACCCCGTTATAAAAAAACAGACGTGCTGCCTGACAAATTCAAATTAACTGTTTGCACTCGTATTTTTGCATAATATTAGCCATGGGTGTCTCCCTCGGGGCTGTCTGTCCTACTGCGAGACGAGAGGAAAAGACATGCACAAAAACTGTCCCCTCACGTCGTTTGCCCAGCAACTGTCAAGCAGTCGAGGATACGGACGAATTTGAAAGACAAGAAATACGTACGTACGTACGAAGAGTAAATATGTAAACAGAAAAGTTTTAATTCTTGAGACTCTCCAACGGCCTCGTGCTCTCTGCTTCTCCGACATATCACGTAATTACGGAGGAAATTAAACACGACGGGATTGAAACGAGGGAAAGTTGGGCGAGTCTGCTGCTTTTCGAGTCTTAAGTAGCTGCTGACGAGCTGCAGTGCATCGCATCGCATCGGATCAGATCACAAATAAAAAACACACTAAATAATATGATTGCTAGTAAACAATGGAGGTGCAAAATTTGGTAACGATTTGGTAACAATAATATTAATAATTGTAAAAGTTCGCTATCAGGTATTTAGGAATCAATTTCTCGCTACCGAAATTAAGCTTATGTGGTAACAAATGTTTAACAACTTGGTAAAGCTTGCCACAACTTTGTCCTCACCTTATTTTTAGAGTGGATGAGAGGCTGACGCGAGAGAAAAGGGAGAGTGAAAGCATTCCAAGGTTGTTAACTTTTTTGGGCGAAGATACCCTGCAAAGACCGTGCTGTTGCAACATTACGTATGTCCTCGTGTATATGGCACTCATTTTAATTAAGGCGAGAAAAATAAGTCAAGTTAGCTTTCTCCTTCAAGTGGAAGAAGAGGAGCGGAAAAGAATTTTGAGCGGATTTATGCCACTACTTTCTCTCCAAGTGAAAGCTAAATTTATTAAATTTCGCACACCACGTACGATACAGCACAACGACGTCCATACACACTCGAAGGGCAAAGGATACATGTTAAATAAATGTGTCAGATTTGTAGGGTTTCTTGAGACAAATTTCGTGATTTTGCTACTCATTTCTTTGACGTGTCAAAAGATCATACAATATTTCTCGCTATTTTACCCTGATTTGAGAAACCCTGCACGATACATGTGTGTCTCCTCGTTCGTCCTCACGCGAACTGGAAATGTCACCAGAGTGAAAGTTTTGAATGTTTGCTTTGCTCTCCTTCTAGCCTAGTTTTCTTGATTAAATATAAAACCGCAAAAAATCTGAGTCACTGAGTCCTCTCTTTCTCTCTCCACGTATGAGCATTAGATAATTTCTTACATACGATGGTTCATCCAGTTGGATTGCGAAAGAGAACGACGAACTACATACTTATTCTGGTCTCTTTGAAAGGGGACTGGCTCAAAGGAAAGTATAAAGTCGTTAGGCACAGGTAGATCCTAATCAAAGTAGTCAACTCTCAAACTAATCTTGGTTTGCTTCTTCGGCTTCAAAAAGCTTTTAATGCTGTGCACAAAACTAATTGAATCGAAGAACAAAACTTGCCTACTTACTGCTCCTCTAAGGAACCCTCGAATAGGAGGGGATGCCACTTTTCAACGCATTTAAATCATCGAACGTGAATACTTTTGGAGATATTTTTGGAGAGGTGAAATACAAAAGTGAAATTAAATTTCACGCAATTTTAAGTGACACATAAAATTGTGTCACTTTATTCAATTCAATACTTGTACTGCTATTTATGTTTTCAATGCTTGTCACGTACTGACAACTTTTATGTAACTGCTCAAATCAAAATGATGTGGTTAGTAAAGTGGATTAAGGAAGAAAGTTGACTGACATTATGTAACAGCGCCAATACAAATTGAATGAATAAATTGAATGAATAAAGAAATAAAAACTCAATAAGTCAGAAATGTCCAACTTGTCCACGTCCAAGACTTGTCGATTAGTTAGTTACGTAATAAAAATGTAGGGTGAATTTAAATTCAATTGGGTAAGTAAAGTGACAAGTAGGAGTAAGTTGAAAAATATAGATCACCCAATTCATTCTATCTGGAAAGTACATATTTTTATATCAAATTTACTAAAATATTTTATCAACGGCACTGAAGTATTTCTAAATTTTCTTAATTTATGTCCACTCCTAGAAATAGGATTAATTGCTTCACAAGTTAGGTAAAATGTTTAGAGAATAATTTTAAAGTTATTATTCTCCTTATTTGACTATGTCTAACATGACATAAGTTTATGAATAATAGAGCATTTACCATCAAATCAATTAGTATTCAAACCGAGTTCTTCTCTCCTGCGAGCTATTTAACAGAAGAGGAACCCACTTTTCCCATCCGATCGAGACAGGGAGAGATCGATACCTTGAGGAGACTACTTACAGCAAACCAGACAAGATTATCATATTATGCACTCCTTCTCCTACGTACGGAGGAAGAAAAAGTGCCCCAGTTTTCGAGAGAAGAATTGATTCTCTTTTCTTCGTCTCAATATTCATCTCATCTCGGAAATTGTTCAAATAAAGCGAAATACTTGAAAATGTTATACTTATTCAGTTGCAGCAATTTCTTCTTTTAAAGTAATTCTATTTTGTGTAATGCAGTCACGAATACTTTTCTCCTATCTATATAAATATGTAGTAAAAAAAGTACATTAGTGTGTTACGTAAGAGAGAGTGAAATTGCATGTTTTTTTTCGCACGCCTTAATTAAGAAATTTATGTATTGCACTTTTGAATACTTTTTATAATAAAGAACAGATAAATTCGAAAAAAAGTATCTTTCTGACAGTAACAAATTTATGTAGTTACATACATTTAAAAAAATTAACGTCTGTTTCCGTAATAATTTTCTATTAATTTATTAATTTTACACTGGACTACATGCAATACTGGCTTGATCTACTCAGCACACCTCATGAGGCAGCGATTTTAGTGATGTAGTAATCTTATCTTTAGTTATTAGGTTACCTTAAGTTTGCGTTGCGTTAAATCGACAACTGCCAAAACTTCACATCTGAACTAAATGATAAATAACAAATATCTCCCAACAAATTTAAACGGACGTATAAATTGAAAAAAAATAAATCCAAAACTTTTATTTTATTTGAATCTAAATTTACTAATCCTAAACTATTGACCCGTCTTGCTGGCCGTATTTGTGTACATATTTACATTAAAAATTCCTCTCTGACTAGAAGATCCTCCTACTTTCGTCTTTATATTTTATTTACCTATTTATTACACAACAGAACCCGGCCAAACTGGCCAATTTTGTCGAAACATTTCAATCTAGCCCCCTCCACTCCACTCCTTTCTTGTCCCGATCAATAAGTAAACAATAAAAAAATTACAATGCATATTAATAAAAAGAATATATTTATACAACCAACTTTCTCCAGCCAGGAAGTAGTGAATCT